AAGGTGTCCCTACAACTCTTCACCCAGTAGCTGAGGAGCTGGAACGGCAGCAGCCAGCAATTAACAGCTGATCTCTCTGATTTTTGATAAATCCAGCACTCTGGAGAAGCTGGAGCTGAGTTCCATGTGCTACAGAGGAAAAGTTTCCTGCAGAGCACCCGTCCCTTTGGGATGGGGACAGAGCCAGGGGACAGGGCCACGGGCACAGGCGAGCAGCCTGCACCCTGCAGCTCCATTTCCATCCTTCCCTCGTGCAAAAACCCCATAATTTTTAAGGTTAATAAAGCCCTTGTTTGCTTAAGACAGCACCTGTTTCTATGGTGACACTTGCAACCTGGAGCCTGTTTATCAACGGCGCCGCCGCGCGCGGTGACAGCGCGGACACGGCGGGGAAGGCCAGCGGCGCTGCCAGCACCTCTGGGGACAGCGGTGCCACCACCCCTCAGCCCCCAAATGTGCCAGTGCCCATCCCTGGCATCCCCACTCTGCCCTACAAAGCCACAGAAGGGGCTGGAGCAGCGGGAGCTGCACCCACGGTGGGGGGAAGGCCGGGCTGAGCCATGGGTGGGAATGGCTCCACTTCCAAACCATTGGATGCGCTTCCTCTGTGCCACCCCAGAGCTGCCTGTGGCAGCTCCGTGCCTCAGTTTCCCCAGTGCCCTGCCCTGGGAAGGGGTTCAGGGCTGATCCAAGCGGTGCTGGTGGCAGCAGAGCCCGGCGGGTCCCGCTCGGTTCCATCCTGGCGCAGGATTTCTCCCGGCTGGCAGAACCCGTTTCCATAACGACTTTCTGTTACAAACATATTTTGATAAAAATAAAGTTAAAGCGGCGAGGCTTTAGTGGAGTACAAATTCGCTGCTCTCGCCCTCCCCCTTCCTCCTCCCCAAGGAGGGGGAATAAAGATGGAAAGCTTTCCATTTGAAGGGCAGTATTTTCTCCCTTCTTTTTCTTTCCCCACTGAATACAAAATGGAAAACCTTGTTTACTGGGGATTCGCTGTAAACCGGTTCCGACTCTGCCTGGTTACCTGATGCTCTACAGTATGTACAGGATAATGTGATAAATTCATTTCCAATTCACTGCATTATCCTTTGAATATTTTAATGACTCATTGAATGGAGTAAAAAAAAAAAAAAGAGAGAAAAAAAAGCTATTTCAAATGAACAATTATGCTGCATTAGAGTAAAGGCTGATTATATTTAAACACTGCTTCCATGGATAACGGGACATATCGACCTCCGCCTATAAGAGCTAATTTGGCTCTTATCTCTAAATAATTTTACACTGCAAATTACCATGAAAACCTAAAGGGCTTTAAAAACATTCATCAAAAGATATTATTCCACTTTGTAGCAACATTTTTATTTAAATTATTTTGAATAGGAGTGAAAGCATCTCTCGTGTTTGACAATCGGAGCAGCGACGGAGCAGCGGCTGATAAGGAATGGCGAGCGGCGCCCAGGGGATGGGATGGTTCCATCCCAAAAACCCACCTGGGAGAGCAAATCCCGAGCCAAACCCCAAAGTTGGTGGCGTGCCAAAGTACTGCAGCACCCAGGAGTGGCATTTAGTGCTGCTGGAGCTGCTTCCCTCCAAACTGGGGGATGGCAAAGCCTGGGTGATGCCAGAGGGATGCCAGGGCGATACACAAGTGATGCTGGGGGGAGGCTGGGGTGACACCCAAGGGATGCTGGGGTGGTATCCAAAGGATGCCAGGGTGACGTGAAGGGGATGCTGGGGTGACACCCAAGGGATGCTGGGGTGACACCCAAGGGATGCCAGGGTGACACCCAAGAGATGCCAGGGTGATATCAAAGGGGTGCCAGGGTGGTACCCAAGGGATGCTGGGCTGATACCCAAGAGATGCTGGGGTAGTACCCAAGGGATGCTGGGGTGATGCTGGGACAATATCCAAGTGATGCTGGTGGGAGACTGGAGTGATACCAAAGGGATGCTGGCGTGGTACCCAAGGGATGCTGGGGTGACACCCGAGGGATGCTGGGGTGGTACCCAAGGGATGCCAGGGTGGTACCCAAGGGATGCCAGAGTGATATCCAAGGGGTGCTGGGGTGATACCAAAGGGATGCTGGGGTAATGCTGGGCTGATAGCCAAGGGATGCTGGGGGGATGCCAGAGTGACACCCATGTGATTCCTGGGGTGATGCTGGGGCAAAGCCAGGGCAATACCCAGGTGATGCTGGGTGATACTGGGGTGATGCTGGGGGGATGCCCAAGTGATGCTGGGCAACACTGGGGTGACACTGGGGTGGTACCAAGCACTGCTGGGTGATGCTGGGGTGGAACTCAAGCACTGCTGTCCACACTGGAGTGAAACTGGATGATACTGAGGGGTACCCAAGCACTACTGGGCGATACTGGGGTGACACTGGGTGATACTGGATGACACTGGGTGACACTGGGGTGGAACCCAAGCACTGCTGGCACCCTGGGGTGACACTGGGTGATACTGGGGTGATGCTGGCTCGGTGCTGGGGTGACACTGGGTGACGCTGGGGTGACACTGGGTGATACTGGAGTGACACTGGGTGATACTGGGGTGACACTGGGTGATACTGGAGTGACACTGGGTGATACTGGGGTGACACTGGGTGATACTGGGGTGGAACCCAAGCACTGCTGTCCACACTGGGGTGACACTGGGCGACGCTGGGGTGACACTAGGCGATGCTGGGGTGACATGGGCGATGCTGGAGTGACATTGGCTGATACTGGGGTGACACTGGGCGATGCTGGGGTGACACTGGCTGATACTGGGGTGACACTGGCTGATACTGGTGTGACATTGGACGACGCTGGGGTGACACTGGGCGATGCTGGGGTGACACTGGGTGATACTGGGGTGACACTGGGCGACGCTGGGGTGACACTGGCTGATACTGGGGTGACACTGGGCGACGCTGGGGTGACACCGGGGCACCGGCGGGCGCGGGGGCTCCTCCAGCCCCCCGGCACGGCACCGGCCGCCCCATCCCTCCCGGAGAAAGGCACTTGCAAGCCCCTCTCTGCACCAAAGCAACAGAAGGTGTCATGTAAAGCCTACACGGTTATTTTAGAGCCAGTGTGCAAATAAGGCTGTCAGCTGAAGCTCCTCGGAGCCAAGACTTCCATATCCCCCCAAGGATCTGCATCTCAACGAGACACCATGTGGCTGAGCCCGCCGGCTCCGCACCCGGATTTGGGGCTGGGGGATCGGGAAAACTCCTCCCAGCCACGCCAGGACCCCCCCACTGCACCCCCAGCCACGGGCACCGAGCTGACGGGGTTTGGTCGCCGCGTCCTCATGGGATAGGGGAGGATTTTTTGGTGGTTTATTGGGCATTTGTGGGATTTGGGGGATTTATACGCGTTTCTGTGTGTGTAGAGGAGAGATACATATACACACACCCACGGGAGATAGAGGGGATATATTTATCCCATCATTATAGGGATCATATCAATATATAGGTTTTATATAGAATATTGCATGGAATCAGTGAATGTCTCACGTTGGAAGGGACCATCAAGAGCACCGAGGCCAAATCCCTGCTCGGATATGTGTGTTTATATTTATAAATCTATTTATCTCGTGATAAGAAAGCTTAAGGAATTGTTGGGGCTGGGATCCACCCCATCCTTGGCAGATAGGGAAAAACCCTTTTCCCTCCCAAAAATGTCCTTTTTCCTGCCCTCTTTCATGGCCTAACACAGAATTTTTGACCTTAGAGATCACAACTGGCATCACTCAAACGCCAGGGGAAAAAATCCCACCTCCCATTTGTGCTGGAGGTTTGAATCCCACATTTCCCTTCTTTGCTTAAAGGATTTTACAGTCCAAAGAAAAAAAAAAAAAAAAAAAGGAAAACCACAATAATTAGCAAGAGGGAACGGCTCCGAAGGATCTGTGTACAGAAGGAAACACAGGAGCTTGGGCTCCTTTGCGTTTGGTAAATATTAAAATTAATGAGAGACTTTCAGGACCCTGTTGTTAGAAATGCAGAAGGGTTTCTGTGAAGGATAAAAACACAAAACAACACGAAAAAAAACCCCCAAGCCCTGTACACAAATTCCTGCAATTATTCCCGATGCTTCCTATTTTTCAGCCAATTATGGAATCCATGGAAAGTATTAATATCCTGTTTTAATTTGCTTAATATGCCCATTAACAATAAAAAGTCTAATTAAGGTATCTGTACAAAGAGCCCTCAGCAGTAATTTCAGAGAATAATAGAGGAGAACGACGCAATATTTCTTGTTAAATGCGTACTGCAAATTAATTGATATCTTAATTAGGCTTTAGTACCCAGATTATCAGTTAGATTGATTTAGGACTGCAACATCTCATTTTTTGAAGACATAAAAACAAGCAGGAAGGGAAAAAACTGCTTTTCCAAGATATTTCTGGGAGCAAAGCCATGACACACTGGGACAGGGAGAAGGACTCATCCCATGGACACAGTGCTGGGAAGTGCCACAGTTCATCCCAAACTCATTTCCCCTCTTGTTTTCTCACTGAGTTCAAACCATTTTTAATCCAAAAAAAAAAAAAAAATCAAAAACTAGAAAACTAATTGAGATTTTCACCAAACCCACTTTTTTAAAGCCTAAAACTCAACCAGCAGCAGGAGCTGTTTGGAAGGACGCGTTGTCTCCGCAGAGAAAACCGGTGGTGGGGAGTTGGCAAAGTGTTTTTTGGGCTTTTTTTCCAGCATTTCCTTAGGAGAAGGAGGGGAAAAAAAAAACCCCAAAAACCCAAGCAGCAATATTTTTGGACCAGCCTGGCTCTTTATAGCCTGAGGAAGCACTTCCCTACCTACACGCCCAGCACCATTTACATTTCTCTGGCAAACACTTGTCCTCCCCTCCGGGGTTTCTCCAGGAGGAGTTTGCATCCCATGGGATTCCAGCCCTCCCTGGATGCTTGGGAATGATCCCAGGAGGAGTTTGCATCCCCTGGGATTCCAGCCCTCCCTGGATGTTGGGAATGGTCCCCATGGACTCACCAGGATGTCGGTGACCAGCCAGTGCCTCCAGAAGCGCAGCCGGGGGTTCTCTCTGTTGGGAGCATCGGGGTCCACCATCACCAGGACGTATTTCTTGTTCTGCAAGAGAGGAGAGGGGGATGCTGTGGCCATGGGGTGACAGCAAAAAGCCCCCAAACCCACATTTTTCCACTCTTCCCCAGCTCTGGTGGTATCACCCCAGAGGTGAGCGAGGAATGGGCACCAGGGGAGGCCACAAATCACCTGGGGATGATTTAATCCCAAATCTTTCCAGAGGAACAATGCAGGTTCTGCCTCCTCCAAAGAAAAGGCACCAAGGAGAATTCCCTCTGCTTCTCACCACATCCCACTGAGGCACAGGATTGCAGCCCCTCTGGTATTTTTGGGATCCAGAGTTGGTTGGGGACAAGCTGGGTACCATCCATGGGGGTGTCTGTGGGGAGCCAAACTCTACCCCAAACATCCCAAAATAACCAAAAGATGTTCCTGGGATGCTGCAACGAGCAGCACCTGGGGGTCAGGTACCACTCCTGGGTGATGGAATTGGGCAAAGAGAGCTGGGATTTATGGATAACACAGGTTTAGCCCCCAGGAAACCCTCCCAGCCCAGCCCAGGCCCCCACTGAGGGTACCCAGCACCCAAAGGTGCCACCAGCACAGAGCCCACGTGGGTATTTTGGTCTGCTGAGGATGGAGCTGTGTTGGAAGTGACCTCTGAAAGGAAAACCTGCTGATCTCCAGGGATTTGGCAGGACCTCAGGCACCAGATTATCCCTCAAGCACGCAGATTAAGGGATCTATATCCGAATGAAATCTCCAGGTGCGTCTGTCAGGGAGCCAGGGCCGCTCCAGCCGCCCCGGGGGCTGGGCTGTCACCAGCAGCCCTGGGATTTAGCCCTGCAATTCCCACTGGAATTAGCTGGAGCTCTGTGGCTGCGTCCCCTGTCCTGTGAAACCTGGCAGGGATTTGCACAGTGAGGTTCCTGGGGCTGACTCAATATTTTTGCTCCATTTCCCAACCTCAGGTTGGGATAAAGAGGCAAAAACCCCCTGGGATGTTACCACAACATGCGCCCCCCTCCCTTGGCATCCCACACGTCCCATAAACCTCTTGAAGACCGCAGGGAGCACCACTTTTAACCAGAAAATGCAGATTTCAACCCGTTTAGCTTGCAACAGTCGCAGAGAAAATCCCAAACTCGAAGCGCCCCGCCCGGGAGCGCCGCTGCCCCGCTCCACAAAGCCCAGCCTGGCATCACCCAGGGTGGGGGAATTACACCAAGCCTGCAGATGTGAGCGTGGGAAAGGGGCCGTGCTGGTGTCACCACGTGAGGCTGAAGGTCAGGACCTCGAGGCTCAGCCGCCACCACCATCCCCACCACGCTCCCAGCTGCAGAAGGCTGAGAGAGAAAAAAAAAAAAAAAAAAAAGGGAAGAAGCAGCAAAATTCCTTAACAGCGCCGAAATCAGCGTTTAATAGGAAGGAGGAGGAGGGGAGGGGGAGAAGAAGCCCGACAACCCAAAAACCCTACGCTGGAAGTGTGAAGGAATTTGAGCTCTAACTTTGGGGAGGGTGCGGAGCCGAGCTCGGCGTTTCTGAATCTCTCGGCTCCGCTCGGAGCCCAGCTGGTGGGAACAGAACGTGTAGTCATGGGACTGTCATCGTGTGCTGTCCAGGTTAACATGTAGCATTTCTATTACTATTAACAGACTTTCTGCTCCTCACTCCATCTGTTCTTCGAAATAATTGCAGTTGTACAGACCATGCCTTCGCTCCAGGCAGGCTCTGGGGAGAGGATAGTGTTTTTATGCAAAAAAAAAAAAAAAAAAATTATTAAAAAAAAAAAAAGGAAAAAAATGGGGAGGAAAAAAAAAAAAGTGTTAAAAAATAACAGCAAACACGAGAATAGAGTGCAAGTGAAGCTAACAGCAGGCTTGGAATTGGGGACAGATTGTGGCCTAGAAAGGTGACAGCGCACGCGGCCGGGGGCCGGCAGGGCAGACCCCGGTGGGGACAGGAGCTGGGGTCAGAGCCCTGAGCAGGGCTGGCCCTGGGGGATTTTTCTCTCTCCTCACCTGCCGGCCACCCTCAGAGCCACAATCCCTCACCTTCCACCTAAAGATAGCAAAGCCCTCCCCGAGCCGAGTTAATCCAGGCTGCTCATCCTGCGCCGCTCCTGAGGCTGCAGCAGCCCCCAAAGGCACCCCAAAACCCCCTGTGTGACCTCCCAGGGCCATGCCAGGCACCCCAAACACGGGGGGATGGTTTAGAACTGCTTGCAAGCAGCAGAGCAGCAGAGTGTGGTGATTTTGGGGGTTTTTGATGCTGAAATCCCTCCTCGACACAGGCTAACAGCATTAGCTGCTGTCAGGGCTGCAGACGGGAGCCAGCCCCAAGTGACACGGGAGCTGCTCAGCTTTACAAACATGAGCCACCCCCAGGGATTTTGGGAGAGGAGGAAAGTGGCTTTAGATCAGAAAATTCCTCCAGTGCACGAGAACAGGAGGCATCTTGCTGTGCAAAGGGAAGGGAGGAAGGGGGAGAGGGAAGAAAAAGCCACTTTGAATGAAAATTTGGGGGACAAAAACACCCTTAAAGCTTTGTCTCTCATTCCTGCTTGGCCCAAGCCGTGGAGGAGCTGCTGGAGTGCAGCACCCAGTGTGTCCTATCGGTGTCATGGGATCATGGAATGGTTTGGCTGGGAAGAGAACTTGAATTCCATCCAGTTCCATCCCCTGGGCAGGGACACCTTCCACTGGCCCAGGCTGCTCCAAGCTGGCCTTGGACACTCCCAGGGATCCAGGAGCAGCCACAGCTCCTCTGGGAATTCCATCCCAGCCCTTTCTTCTCCTCCTAGCCAGGAATTCCTTCCTGATATCCCATCTCTCTGGCAATGGGAGCCACTCCCTGGGTCCTGTCCCTCCATCCCTTGTCCCCAGTCCCTCTCCAGCTCCCCTGGAGCCCCTTCAGGCCCTGCAAGGGGCTCTGAGCTCTCCCTGGATCCTTCCCTTCTCCAGGCTGGTGTGTGACACCAACTGGGTCACCCTTCCATGGCCACCCTTCCCTGCTTCCTCACCCTAGGACACTTTAAAATCAACATTTAACCACTGACAGGAGCTGCTGCCTTCCCAAGGACTCAAACCCACACCTGCACCGCCCAGCTTTGCCCCCCACACCCCTGGGAAGGGGCGTCCTTGCCCTGCTCCTCCACCTGACACAAAGCTGGAGCAGCAGAGCTGGTGGCAGGTGACAAGAGCCCTGCATTCCGTGTTTTCCCTGCTAATTGTTTCTAGAGGGGGAAGCAGCAGCAAAATACCCAGTTATTCCTGCAGAAAGCATTAGCTGCTCCAATTAGGCACAGGTTTAGGAAACTCGCTCCGAGCAGGCAGCGACTTTTCCAAGAGGCAGGTGGGCAGGAGAGGGATTTTGTGCGCTGAGGATACACACGGAGCTCAACAGATCCCGCCGAGCCGGGGCTGCTCAGGAATTAAAGACTTATCCAAATGAAAGCAAATAGGGTGTTAAGTGACACACATGTAGAGCGAGCGGTTTCCTTGGAAACCAGCGCACATGGAAGCAGCACACATGCAGTGCTCGGGTGTTTTCGGCAGCCCTGGGGCTCTGCCCTGCCAGGGATACCCAACTTGGGCTGGGCCTGGAGCTGGGTGAGCCCAGGGGTGACTGTGCTGGTGTGTCCATCCCGTTGGCGTCCCTTTAGCCAGGGCATGGAGGAAAAATGGATTAAAATGGGCTTTATTCTGTGGAGGGGAGATGGATGGTGGCCAAGCTTTGCTGTAGGAATTCCATCCCAAAACTGGGCCAAGCCCCAACCAGCTTCCCACCATGGGAATGGAGAGATTTGGATGGATCCAGTCTGGATCCTCCCAGCTCACCCATCCCTCAGAGCTGTGCACACCCACAGCACAGGATGTTCCCTGCACCAGCCCCTCACCACTCAAGGGATGAGGTGAAATTTCCAGCTGCCCCATTGCCACCACATCCTTGACAGCTCCTAAGGAATTTCCCTGGGTGCTGAAGGAAATCATGGAAATCACAGACAGGTTGTGATGGTATCTGAGCCAAAAAACCTTTCACCTCCCTGGGAGCTGCAGCCTGGCATTGCCCCAGCCTGGATTATCCTGCTGGGAGGGATTTTGATGGCATGAGATGATCCAGGCTGGTCCCACTGGTGCGGAGATGGGACGGGGGAAGGAGCCAGGGAAGAGCTGGGTTTATGCAATTACAAACAAAAAAACCTCAATTTATCCCCAAATCACTTTCCAGAGCTGGGCAGGGAGCTGGGAAGAGTACCCAGAACACTGGGAAACATCCCAGCTCTCCTCAGGGATGCTTGGAGGGTCCAGCTCACGTCCCACCAGAGCAGGAGTCGGAGGTGGAAGCGCCGCCAGCACCAGCTGAGATTTGAGATCAATCTGGGCTTTTTTCTTGGCTTGTCCCCAGTACTAAAAAGTTTCTATAACAGGCACCGGCTTCGCAATTCTGCTGCTGCTGCCTCGCCAGAGAGAAATTCCAGCTCCTTCCTCGGCGGCAGAGAAATTGTTTGTGACCGAGTTGTGCTGTGGCTTGGGGAAGGAGCTGCCGAGCGCGGCAGGATTTCACCTCCTCCCCTTCCACCTGCACCTCGCCACTTCCACGGGCAAAGAAACAGGTCAGCAAAATTAACCCTGCTCCGCAGGACTTGCCCAAGGGGACAAGTGGCACCGGCTGAAGGCTTGACCCAGCTCTCCCAGGCCTGGCTCCCGCTGCCCAAGGGAACTTCATTGAATTTCCAACTGCAACTCTCCCCATCCCTCTGCTCTCCCTTGGGGCTCCCTCACTGGCCAAATATTTATGCAGCCTAATGTCCTAATGAGGATTGATTCATCCAGGATGGTTAAGGAGTGTGTGTGAAAGGTCTGTTCCCAGATTAAGGGCTTGGGATGCTTTAAGGAATGGATTATTTGCTCTAAAAGAACAGTTTGTTTTCCCTCGTAGCAGCAATAAAACAGCAGCGGGGGTGTTACACACCCAACACAACCAGGCAGAAAGTGGGATAAATATTCCAAAGTGTCCATGGTGCTAGGAATGCAGGTGACGGT